AAATATATAAGTCTAATTTGACATTAGGTTATCAAATATAGGATTAATTAGAGACTATTATTTGGGACCAAATTAACACAAATATAGAATTATAATACTAGTTAGGCCAAATTAGAGTTAAAGATAGCAAATAAATAAATGTAAAAGTTAGAGTAAACAAATAATAATAATAATAATAATAATAATAATAATAATAATAATAATAATAATAATAAGCTTACTGATGAGATAAAGCCAATCAATTACTCGCCATTAATTAGTAGATTATAATCTCTCAGGAGAGATGGCTGGATGCCATTTGTGCCACGTAGCTTTAGGGAGAATGAGTCACCCTATGGAGACATCATGAGTTTGCATGTATATAAGAAGTTGGGGGGAACTACGACTAAGGTAAAGGAATGAGGGAAATAAGAGAGGAAAATAAAGAGAGACCGAAAAGAAGAAGAACAGTTTCGAAAATATAGGAAAATAGAAAGGAAACAGTAAGACTCAATCTTAAGGTGAGTTATATTATATTTTGAGTTACCATAATAAATTTTACGTATGTTTTGACTTACCATAATTTATTTTATACAAGTTATGTTTTATAAGTTATATTAATTCAAGTTATGTTTTAGAAATATTTCAGTTACGTGGATTAATTTCTAAACTCTATTTGTTTAAATGAAACCCATAGATATGTTTGTTTAAATTTTAAAGAATATTTGACTATGACCTTATAAACAATTATGTTTTGTAAGTACCACCACGGGAGTCCCACGCTTTGGGAGATTTAAATAATCATTGGCTTCTGTTTGGCCACTTTGTGGTCCTCTGTTTGTCATGGATCCATTGACCTATGTTCTGATTGTCACTTCTGTGAAGTCTGTTCTGTTCTGCTCTGTTCTGTACCGTGATATGGTTATTTATTTATATAATTTCTGTATTTCAGTTTCTGCCACTTAAAAGATTTATTTACCAAATTGAGTTATGTAAATGTTTTGGCTTAACTAACTATCCATGGTTATTTTGTATTCCTTATACTCTTAGCATAATATTTCTCACTCTGCTGTGTGCTTATAGCTGTTACCATTTCAGGTGACGAGATGTAGGGGGAAACCCATAACCTCACGAAATGGAACCCGCACGTGGATTGATGTTGAACCATTATTTTGTCTTTATTTTTTATTTTTATTTTTGCTTCCTTTTGTTCTACTCAGGGCCGAACACTGAATAATAAAATAATAAAAACCCTATAAATGTATTTTCTCTTATTAAAATAGTGAAATGGAGTAATTTCCTGTTTAATTATTTTTATTTCCGCTTGCGCAGTTTAATTTGCTACAAATAGAAAAAGTTACTAAGTTGCGATTCTAACCCTAAGCCCCTGGGGTTGGGTCGTGACACAACCCACTTGCAAAGTTGCCATTTACTGGGAGCTAGATATCTAAGCTCGAGCGAGAAAAGTTTCGCTCAAGCAGAGCGAAAAACTCAGGTGCCACACTTCTCCTCTCTTCCTCCATTTCTTTTCTTGTTATTTTCTCTATCTCTGTGTTTTTCTCTATATTGAGTATAACGTCCCAGAAATATTACAATAAGACCATTCCACAACAAATATTAATTACTAACAGATGACAAAACATAATGTTCTTCCATTCATAAGCTTCATCTCTTTACAAAAGTGTAACACATGCAGTAATACATTCACAAGTTCTAACCCTGCATCTATAGTATGTGTCATCGGTACAAGATATGAAATAGGAGTAAACAGATATGGTAATGCCCTATTGGCTACAACTTTCCAAGATAGTGCTTGGTTACAACAAAAGTGAGTTTAAACTCAAAACAAATAAAGCCCTAGGCTTGTACAAAATAAATACAACAATAACAAAAACAGAAGCTCTTAGCTCCCAGTCCTCCCAAGCTATTGCCTTGGCTGAGGTATATCATCAATACCTAAAAATGATTTTTTCCACATAGAGTGAGCCAAAACCCAATAAAGATACTCTAACACAGTATATGAATCTTAACAGAGTTGTAAGGTGGATGCATATACAATGCTCGTGTCAAAACAATTTATATCTCTTTTCAAACCATGCTATGTCAGATTTATATTAAAATTCATGAAATCAATTCCATTTTAGTAGAAAACAGGGCAGTAGATACAACACTAGAATCTCTAAGACGTGTCTACTAGTAGGCTACAACCACTATCAATTTGTCATTTTTATCGGTATTAACTAGAAGGCTTGACACCTAATCGCGCAGGTTTCTGGACTTTCACCAAAGACACGCAGGCCAACATAATTCCACAACTACACTTCTACCTAAATTCACCAAGGTATTTACTTTTTTTTCTCAAAACAACAACAATTTCAATGTGTTAAATATGTTACGATGCTCAATGCAAATGGATGAGATAATAGTTTCAATTCACCTAATTCTCATGCAATTTCTACAATAACCATGTCTATTCTCTACCGATAGCCCAAAACAAATATCTTTAAACAGAAAGATAATTTTCAACATAGATATTCTTTCCAACATTTCCAATTAGGAGTGATAATTCATATCCAACTCCATCCTCATCATCATCATTGTTCCAATTCCATAAAACCAACATCAATTTCCTTTCCTCTTTACAAAAATCAAATTCTCACAATTTATGGCAAAAACCCAATTTCTTTAAAAATCAATTTCCATGGATAAAATCCACCATTTATCGCAACCCAACCATTTTTACAAAGCTACAATCATATGCAAGAGCCCAATTTGAAAGCCCCTCTTTTGATTTCAAAACCAAACCCTAGGTTTTATCCAAATATCCCCAAATCACTATCTTGTTTAGAAAAGCAAATAACTAAGTTAAAAATCATAAAAATGGTCAAAGTAATCTCTACCTCAAAGACAAAAACCAAGAAGAACAAGAGTTGAAACTTGACGAAGTCGAAAACGAACTTTGCTCCGATCAAAACAAAGCTCTAGGTGAGCTCTACATTTTTATCAAAGGGACTATGGAATAGAAATCAACGGATCAAAATGTATTTGAGGTTTTGAGATGGTTTTCTAGAGAGAGAGTAAATAGATCTAGGTTTTGGAGTGTTTTAGATATATATATATATAAAGAGAGAGAGAGAGATGAGAAAATGACTCGAAAGTGTCCCTCTTCAGCCTGATATACACGCAGATTGCTTGAGCGATCAAACACAACAAAGACCCCGCTCGAGCACAAGAATGGTCGCTCTAGCGCACAATGCACTCCCCTAATAGTTTAGACCTACAAAACTTCGTTCGAGCATAAGAAGCGTCGCTCAAGTGCAGATATCAAACCCTCAATAGTTTGTAGACTATAAAAGACCGCTCAAGTGCAAGAAGTGTCACTCGAGCGAACAAGCAAAATTCTAGGCAATCAACTCTTTGAAAACAAACCCCCAACCTATTTCAAACTCAACCAAAACTTCCAATAACCAAACCCAACAAACAATAAGATGAAAAGAAATTGAACAACCAATAAGACAAGGGAATTCCGGATCCAAAACAATAAATGAGCCTGGTCCAAACTAGAGTCGTTATATTGAGACACAAAATTTCTATCTCTATTTTTGTCTATGTTGAAACACAAATTTTCTCTGTGTCTTTGTGTTGAAACAGAATTTTCTATCACTGTATTTTTCTTTGTTTCTGTGTTGAAACACAGAAAAATTTATCTATATTGACATAGATTAAATTTCATAATTTGGATTGAAATTTTCCTTAAATTACGATATTTTTCATATTAAAAATTGGTATTGTACTGGTGATCTTTTTAAATTTTGTTTTTGGCACTTTTTTTATTACATATTTTTCCTCATAATTAAAAAGTTTGCTGCATTTGAACAGAGAAATTTTGTTGATCAACAAAGACCATCCTACTAAGAAATTTGACAATTTTACAATTAAATTTCATTGACTTAGTGAATTTTCACTGAGTTGAAAAAAATTTATTGACTTAACACAACGAATTTTCACTGAATCAAAGAAATTTCATTGTGTCGGAGAGTTACTGAAAAGTTATCATCGGTGGCCATTGGTGGTTGGAGGTAACAATGGCGATAAGGGTGATGAAGTAATAAAACAATGGAGGAATTACCTGCAAGTAGAAGATGGGAAAAAAAATTACAAACATGTGAATCTATTCCTTCTTTCCAATGCGCATTTGCTTGATTCGATTGATTGAAGGTGTTACATCACCGCTTACATCAAGGCTTCCATGCACCGGGTTCTCTTCCCTTGACTAAAGCTAAACACCAGAGGGAAGTCATATAATCTAATTAGTCATTAGCAGCGTAAGGCCTCCCCTGTGGCGCACCCTCAGACCAATAGAAGGGGATTTCAAACTAAGCTAATGAAGTCGCTCCAGCATATGGAGGTGTAAGTGTGTGTGTGGTAGGGTACAAATAAAATATTGTGGGGGTGCAAATGTCCCTTACAACCATCCATGTGCTACAAATTTTTTTCTCGTTGTTTCACTTGTATGTAATCTCTCTAAAATAATACTTGAAATAATTTTGTCTAAAAATAAATTAATGGCCTAAAACTAACACATATATTTTACTTGTCCTTAAGGTCAAGAGAAAATGTTTCTTAGAAAAAAAAAAAACTTATAATTTTTCTCAATTCCAAGAGAGAGATGTGAATATAATTTTTAGAAAAGGTAAATTATAAATACACCCTCTCATATTCATTTAAAATATGATTTATTCTTATAATTTTAGAAATTACATCTTATTCCTTAAAATTTTTAATTACATAACAAATTATCTCTTTTATTAATAAATCATCAAATAAATTAATAGTTTTTAACGATACTAAAAATTTATTTCAAATTATTGTGTAGGAGAGTAGTTAGAAATTTTATTTTTTTAATTAATTATGTTAATTAAAATTTTTTGATAATAAATATTTATAATTGTTCAAATTATAAAAATTATCATTTTAAAAAATAAAAATAAAGATAGGTGAAAAATCTGTTGGAAGTTGAGACAATAATGAGAGAGTTGGGAGAGAGAAGCAAGTAAGCAAAACGGAAGTGGTTGATCGGCTCACCTACATCAATTTATTATTTATGGCTCCCATCTGATTTTCTCTCTACTTATTAATTCTTGTTCAAATCCCCAATCTCTCTCTCTCTCTCTCTCTCCAACTCTGAAACTCACTCAGATCAGGTCTCTCTAATGGCGAGTTTTCTATCACTTGTAAGACGTACCTACCTCACCATCTACAATTGGACCGTCTTCGTCGGCTGGCAAGTCCCTCCCCTCATATGAATTATGAATTCTCTTCTCTGTAGCTCTTGTTTCTTCTTCTTCTGATCTGATTGATGTGTTTGTGTAGTACAGGTTCCAAGTGCTTTATCTTGCTTTGAAAACTCTCGTGGAATCGGGCCATGAACATGTCTACCACGCTGTTGAAAAGCCTCTTCTCCTCGCTCAATCCGCCGCCGTTTTGGAGGTACCCAAATCTTTCTTCACCCAATATTTTTATTTAATTCCTTTTTCTAATTTTGTGGGGGTTGTTTGATTATATATGATTTAATGACTCCTCAAGAAGAAATTAATCCACGCTATCTATGGAGGAAGTTAATTTGGAATTAGAAAAAATTAACAAATCTTTCTCAACTTATTTTTACTACCTAGTATGCAATAATTAAAGTTTTAAAATCTGAAATATAACCCACTTCAATAGGCTAAGTGGGTAAGTAAGAGAAATTGAAGATTTTGTTAATTTGTATAATAATACTTTTGGAATTAATATTGGTTCTGGGTCCATATTTACTTTCTCATTGTGCCCCTACTTTTTGTTGGGTCAAGGACAACCACTGTCATAAATTAAATTTTACCTGTAATTATATTTTCCAACATTATTTAAAGAACATAGAGAGAGAAATGCAAATTATTTATTTTTCTCTTGTTTAATTTTGGAAAATTGCATGTCAGTGAAACAAACAAACAGATAAAAAAAATTACACAAACATGGAGGGTGCAACTCGGACTTGCACCCCATGTTTTACAAAAAAAAAAAAAATTGATCTTCTACTCTGCACTGTTATTTCCCCTTTAATTTATTTTCTATAGATTTCCAGATGTGTCGTCAAAGTTCTGTTTGAATCTTGGATTTGTGAAGAGATTTGTGAAGAAAAATTAAATTTTCTCTTTTTTTTTTCCTTCCACAAATTCATGCACCAAACACAACATTAGCAAATTCTACTGTGTGTTTTCAGAAACCAGATACACACCCACACAATTTATTTATTTATTTACTTATTTAATGTCCTTTTTATTGTGGGATTATTTGATGTGTCTTATTTGTTTTCCTATGTCTTGGAACAGATACTTCATGGTCTAGTAGGTGAGGACTCTTTCTGTTGATAAGCTATGGTTTCATGGAGACAAGATTTTGTGTTAAACCAAATAAGCACTTTTGTGTTTGTGTTCTGTTTCATCTTTTGTTTGCTCAAAAGGTTTGGTAAGATCTCCAGTCACAGCGACACTGCCACAAATAAGTTCAAGGTTGTATGTAACCTGGGGCATCTTGTGGAGTTTTCCTGAGGTTAGAAACCATATTGTATTTTTCCTTTTTTATGTTCTATTTATAATAATATAAAAATAAATAAAAAAAGGGGCTTACAAAATGAAGTTTTTGGTTGGCAGACTCGGACTCACATACTTGTTAGCTCTTTGGTCATAAGCTGGTCTATCACAGAGGTTAGTTCACAATTGCTACTTCAATTACAATTTATTACAATGTCCCTTGAACATTTTGGTTTGAAGCTTGCTTATTTGTTAAATTTTCCTTAGCCTTGCCCGCTACAGTTGAATTGATTACTTGCATTTTTTTATTTTTTTTTCATGCTTTTTGTCTGGAAAAAGCAGAAAGACATACTTTTTGTGGTACTGTTTTGAAAATTATCCTATTGAGTTTCACTGTTCTAATATTCAATTTATATTCTTCATAATTATAGGTAGGTAACGTGTTTAGGGGATCATATTCAATCAAGATAGGGATTTTAATGTTGGGGACTTGCTAAAACCCCCGTTTTGACCTCTAATTGATACTTCTATTACCATGAGCTTTACTGTCCCTGCATTGATTTTGATCTCCACCATTTTGCTATAGCTGCCACTACTGCCAACAACTCAGCAATCTAATATACCACTTTCCTTTACACAGCTCTCTGCCTTTGGATCAGCTATGACCTCCGTGACCAAAATACCACCACTAGGATAGGAGAATGCTTTTGGCCCTGCCGCTGTCCCCACTGTCACCATTGCCTCTAGATTGACTCCATCACTCGCTGAACTTCCAAACCCACATAACTTTTCATAATACTGCCTTTGTTCTGGCAACACCATCAAGCTACTACTTCCATAACTAACAATTCCACTCCCACCTTGTCATACCATTTCCTCTACCGGAACATAATATTTATCTGTACCTTACGCCAGTTGTATGGAGTCCTAGTCAGGTGAGAAGAGAATTTAAACTCTATAGTTTTTTTGGCTCCTGGGCTTCTATCTTGATTGAGTGGAATGGCCAGACAAGATTCATGTAGCCTACCCCAACTAGTTGGGATAAGGCTTTGTTAGTTTGAGTTGAGTACTTTTATCTTAAGATTCAAAAACAACTTGGTAATAAACAGGACCTCAGAATTTGCCATCTGATGGTGCTCCTATCTGTTTCTTGATATTTTTGTGCTTTGTAATATATTCTTTCAGCCAAAATTTCTGTGAAGTACAAGCAATAATTTTATTTTTATTATTTTATGCCTTTTTATTTTAATGCAAATACTCATTAATATGGAAACAGTGAAACATTCTAGTAGCATCAGATTCAGCCATCCAAATTTACAAGCACAAATGCTGATATAAGATTTGTTGTAGTAAATGGTAACAGCAATTTCAATTTTTGATAAAACTGTTGTCTGTTGGTACATGTGTGGTACAGTGGCACTTGTAGTTGTCAGGTCCTATGAGTCAACCAAACTCAAAGTGCAAGTTGAAAAGTGTATTTATATGATGAGTTTGGAATTTATTCATGCATACCAATAGTTCGGAATTGTTTCCTTTTGATATTTGTCCTCATTGTGTTCATTTGGATAAGTTTGTAATAAAAGCACCAGTTGTGCTATAATTAATTATATATTTCATTTCTTGTCATATTAGATTATTCGTTATTCTTTCTTTGGCACAAAGGAGGCTCTTGGCTCTGCACCGTCCGGGCTCATGTGGCTCAGGTGTGAACCATGCAATTTATACTCATCAGATAATTGTCTAGTTTCATTTTTAATCTAAGGAAATTATATTGACATTATTTAGTGCAGGTATAGCACCTTTTTACTGCTGTATCCTACCGGCATCACCAGTGAAGTTGGTCTAATTTATATTGCCATGCCTTACGTCAAGGTAACAAACTCAATGATGCATGTATGGTAGTACTTGTATTACAGTTTTCTTTTGTTGAAATTGTATATATCTTAACTGAATTGTATGCAACAACTAAACCGCCACTGTAAAACTTTTCTGCTAATTTTCAAGTAAAGCATTGTTGGGTTGCTGAGAAAACCATAGTCCAAATGCCACAGTGCAGTAGTAGCAGTGTTAGTGTAATTCACACTAATAGAAGTTCGGAGATTATGAATCAAATAATTTTACATTGTGTTCATCTCATAAGTCTATCTGTTGCTCATGTTCAAACCTGATAAGCACTATTTTTTTATTATTATTATTTTAAAGAACATGTTTGAATATTTGCCCTGATTAAACTTTGATGTCTGCAGGAATCAGAGAAATATTGTGTACGGATGCCTAACAAATGGAATTTCTCATTTGATTACTTCTATGCTGCAATTCTTGTCCTCGGAATCTATGTCCCAGGCATGATTTATCGTCAACTTTTGACGGACAATCTTTTTTTAATTTTTTTTTGCATTCATCAAATTGGATTATAATGATAGTTTAACTTTCTGAATTGCTTGTTGATTAATCTGATGGTGTTATCTACTGCAGGTAGCCCTCACATGTACACATACATGCTTGGACAAAGGAAGAAAGCTCTCTCAAAATCAAAGAGGGAGTAGAATGGGCATTTTAAGAAGTTTTAAACCCATTGTTTATCAGATTTTTGATTTTGTTAGCTAAGTATCAGTCCGACATCTCTGGTTCTTTTTATTTAAGTTTTTATTCGGTTAAAATTTATTATTTTGTGCTTTGAGTATTATATACAAAAACCTTTTTGGGTGTGCCCAAAAAATTCAAGGTGAAGTTGATCAAAATAGGGGGGGCAAATGACGACTAAATGCACAAGGCGTTCGTTTGACAAGCCTTTAAGGTTGGGTCAAAATAGAATTCTAATATATGTTTGAAATACTATATTGTTTTATAGACCTTCAATTCAACTTCTCTGCTGCCTAAGGCTTTCACCACCTCATCTACCCATTGAGGTTACCAGAAATGGATGTTAGGGTTAAATTATACCATTTTCATAGAAGAAAATGACATTGATTGAACTGTTTCTTCTTGGTAATATATATTCAGTGGGTGAAACTCAAATACTCCTTGGTAGAAGTTAAATATTTATAGGCTTTTGCCTCTTTGCCCCCAAAACCATTTTACAATAGTAATCTCGTAGTTTGATGCGTGTCATTTTAGTAGTTTTAATTATAATCATTTTACCTTTTAATTTACATTTTGTGTGTTAACTCTTCCAATTGGTATCAATTGTCACGATTTTTGCCAAAAAAAGGGCTTCCTCATGTGTCCATTCAGCTTGAGCAAAATATAAAAATGATTATACTAGTGGTCGATGTAGTTTGTTCCTTGTTAATTGTAACAAATTTATCTTCTAATTTTACAATTTGTGTTTAATACGTTCAAATTGAAAATGGTTGTGAGATTTTTTTTAAAGGAAATTATAAGGGTGTATGGGTCAGGCGGCCACACTAGAAGGCACATCAAAAACAGTAGGGGCCATTGTGACTTTTGGGAGGACATTAAAAGAATATGAGAAATAGCGTGAGATAGGAGCAAAGTTACATTATTATTGTTATTATAGTTAAGAAAGAGCATTAGAAAAGGAGAAAGAGAAATAGAGAGATAAGTGATTGTGGTTTTTACTATCGTCGGTTGTCGGTTGTCAGAGAAAGAAACGTTAACACGCGATAGATATTGGAGAAGAAATATATTGATTTCTTTGTCATGCCCTTCTCCAGTGTGAACCACACGTTTAACTTTTAGTCAAAAAATTTCACAATAATTTTTAATTGGTTCAATTAAAAACAAATTGCAAAATTTAAATGACAATTTCTTTTTAATCAAATAAAAGGAGCCAAATTAACACAATGTTAAATTACATGGACACTAGAGTCATAAATTTTTATTTTGTCTATCTATCAAATATCTAAAGATCGTTTTCAACTGGTTCAATTTGATATAAAATGTAAATTAAAGGATATACTTATTTTAATCAGAATTACAAGAATCAAAATTGACTTCAGGATTAATTTATAGGACTACTATTATAGTTTGGTTAGTAACATATCATACATGAATGACTGTTAAAGCATTTAGGTTATCTTGTCCATGAATTAGCATTTTTGCTTGATTCACTTTTAGGTAGGATGGAAGGCTACACATAAGTACATAATCAGTCTTGCATTTTTTTTTTTTTTTTTTACTGTAGTAATTCCTGAAAAGGTTTCTTTGATATGGATGACCCAATGTAATTTGGTCACAATCACATGTGATTTTTGTATTGTACTCAAATCACATAAAATAATAAATTGTAATCAAAATCTTAAACAATTGTAATTGAAGCACATTTTATTATAATTCAACCACATCACTTAACAATATATTCAAAAGTATTTGAGTTGACGAAAAGAAAAGCTTGAAATTTTATGTATTATTAACCAAGTCAAAATGCTTATAGTTCACCAAAAAGGGGGGGGGGAAAAGTTTCAAAATGTTAATAAAACAAACAAACCATATGGCAAAACAACAAATTCCTAGCAGATTCTGCTAAAATGTAATGCAGGTTTTGGGTCATTTGCTCTCATATGGGAAGGCAATCAATCAGTCTTTTGTGGAGAAAGTGCAGAATGTGTTTTTAAGGACTGCTATCATTTGCATTCAAAAGAATTTCATCATGGAAAGGGAATGTTCTTTTGAACTCTATTCTCTCTGTTCTTGTGGGATGGATGTGTGACCCAAAAAGTTCATTCATTCATTCATTCTTCAGCAGCAGCACTGGCGGCACTCAGATCCACAGTTAGATCAAGAGCCTGAAGCATGACACCCATCAACTATACTGGTTAGAGTCACTACAAGTGGAACTTCAGTTCTAATTAAGACTACTTAAAGTTTAGAATTGAACATGATTAATAATTTGAGCCAAAATTATGCATGATCAATTCTGGTGTAGATAATGTGTAACGATATGAAGCATAGAGTTATGTTTAACTAACATCAAATTGTCTATCTATCAAATATCTAAAGATGGTTTTCAACTAGTTCAATTTGATAGAAAATGTATAAACTTATTTTAATCAGAATTACAAGAATAAAAATTGACTTAAGGATTAAATTATAGGACTGCTATTATAGTTTGGTTAGTAACATATTATACATGGATGACTGTTAAAGCATTTAGGTTATCTTGTCCATGAATTAGCATATTTGCTTGATTCACTGTTAGGTAGGATGGAAAGCTACACATAAGTACATAATCAGTCTTGCATTTTTTTTATTTTTTTTTACTGTAGTAATTCCTGAAAAGGTTTCTTTGATATGGATGACCCAATGTAATTTGGTCACAATCACATGTGATTTTTGTATTGTACTCAAATCACATAAAATAATAAATTGTAATCAAAATCTTAAACAATTGTAATTGAAGCACATTTTATTATAATTCAACCACATCACTTAACAATATATTCAAAAGTATTTGAGTTGACGAAAAGAAAAGCTTGAAATTTTATGTATTATTAACCAAGTCAAAATGCTTATAGTTCACCAAAAAGGGGGGGGGGAAAAGTTTCAAAATGTTAATAAAACAAACAAACCATATGGCAAAACAACAAATTCCTAGCAGATTCTGCTAAAATGTAATGCAGGTTTTGGGTCATTTGCTCTCATATGGGAAGGCAATCAATCAGTCTTTTGTGGAGAAAGTGCAGAATGTGTTTTTAAGGACTGCTATCATTTGCATTCAAAAGAATTTAATCATGGAAAGGGAATGTTCTTTTGAACTCTATTCTCTCTGTTCTTGTGGGATGGATGTGTGACCCAAAAAGTTCATTCATTCATTCTTCAGCAGCAGCACTGGCGGCACTCAGATCCACGGTTAGATCAAGAGCCTGAAGCATGACACCCGTCAACTAAACTGGTTAGAGTCACTACAAGTGGAACTTCAGTTCTAATTAAGACTACGTAAAGTTTAGAATTGAACATGATTAATAATTTGAGCCAAAAATATGCATGATCAATTCTGGTGTAGATAATGTGTAATGATATGAAGCATAGAGTTGTGTTTAACTAACATCAAAGTAATCATACATTAGGTGAATGTATACTGTTTTCTAAACGTTCTACGTCAGCAACAATGCAACACTAGATGGTCATAGAAGTGTTTGTTATCGTGGCAATGAAGAATCATTAAAGAAAATGTTTATAGCTGTTAAGAAAGAACAAGCAGATACACGTGTATAACTAACGAATATTTGTAAATCTTAGGTTAAATATTGGTATGTAACTTTTATTTCTTTTTTTATTTTTTATCTTAAGAGTGAGGAAATAATGTCACTCCTTGTTTTTTTTAATATTTTTTTTTCTTCAGATATTATCAACTATCATTAGGTAAGTTTCAAAATTTTATGTAGCATATATATCCATATACTAACCCCCTGCTTCAATTTATTTATTTATTTTTAAAATAAAAAACATATTGGTAATTCTTAGAGGAAAAACCAAATGGAAAACACTTGCAACTTTGAATGCATGGAGATGACAAGAAATTACAGTATTCAGTCAACTGTGAAGTGCTTATGTATCATAATCAAACTGACAAGTTACCTTTCCAGTTATCTGGCTGTACATGGCGATCACATTTTCTAGTGTGGATTCGAAGTGTGTTGTTGCATCATAACTCTGCAAAGCATTAAAGTTTCAAGATTTATCAATGACTCCAAACTCAGACAGCGAAGAAAAAAAAAATGGATTTCATGTTCGCTTGTGAGCAGAGACTATTGCAGTGCTAAAGACAATGGGTTGAGAGTTCTTGAAACTTCGACATAAAGAGTAAAGCAACAAAATTGTAAACTCTTTAAGATGAAGAGAGCAATAATAACTGCTAACCTACCTAGCTTTCTAATATGAGTACTGTTAAATTTTAAATTGAAGTTCCTAACATCATGTTCATGAAATAATTCATTCTGTCATGTTGTTCATTCTGGGAGAATCTCGCAATCTAATTTTGTAGTCTTCCATTTGTTATTCAATTAATCTAGTAACAAACTGAAATGTAAATTCAGATTTTCAGAATGCAAAAAACATGAGTACTTACAGTGGATATGAAACAGTTGTCGACAGCATTCTGGTTAGTCGGTTCATATCTGTCGTAAGTATCAAAAAATATTTCCTCTACTGGTCCAAGAAGATCTATGCCAGGCTTCAGTTCCACTTCAGGATTATCAGTCTCTGCTTCTGTTGTAACAAAAGCAATGAATTTACCTTTCGGAGCTACGTTGTGAGAATAGGAGCAGCAGAACAGGTACCTGCAATTGATTGAGAAACAAGAGCATTACAAAAAATTCTGTACTCCTGGAATTTGTGACTCTTAATCATTTGCTTTCCCCAAGATTTTCTGCAATTTAAGCATGCTCAGTAACTGTTTAAATGTTTGTCTTGCAAAGAATACTTTTCTTTTTTTCTTTTTATTTCTTCTTTTTTTATTTTTTTTTCTGAATATGAATCTTTGTTTTCTAAATCAGATCTTGTTATCTAAGTCATGGATGTTTGAACCAGAAACTTCTTTAGTTCTTTTAAATACTTCATCTCAAGTACAGAATACTGATACTACTACAGAATGACAATGACAAAAACCTTTTAAAAGTAACCTATTCCTTAAGACTGTGTTTGGATCTTGGATTTGTAGAGAGATTTGTGGAGGGAAAAGAAAAGGAAAAGGGAAAATGAAAAAGAATAAATTTCTACTTCATTTGCTTTTCCCTTCCCTTTTCTTTTTCCTTGACAAATCCAAGATCCAAAAACAGCTTACATCTGGCTGGGAATTGGCAATGGTATTGTATTCAGACAGGAGAAAAGAAAAAGTTTTTCTTTAGAAAGTGCTATTTTCTTTGACATAAAAGATTTTCATTTTTTGAATTTTTATTTTCATAAAGTACTTCTAGTTCTAGGACATAAGTGATCTGCACTTTTTTTTAGTGTTGTTTCTTATTCAGAAGAAACCGAAAAAGCAAAGTTGACCCTAGCAGTATGCAATTTCGTAAATGAAAACATCCACATATGGGGAGATGGACACTTGAATAGGTATTACTAGATACATGCTGTGTGCCTATAAGAGTTGTATTACCAGTGAACAAATTTATACCAATGCAAGAGTTTGGCGTACATACATATCTGACTTCCGCCCAAGTTGTTTCTGGGGCAGAATGATCTGGACTGAGTGAGCATCATGGGTGTTCGGAATTGGATGACTCATTATACATATAGCACGAGCTACTTTCCCAACCTTCTTTACCTGTTTGCAATAAACAGGAGGGGATAATTCAAACCAATTAAGTCCAACATGATCGAGCTACTGATTGAAGGTTCGTTAGAAATTACCCTGTCGGACAAATATGAAGGATCACATACTACTTTTTTGCATTTCGCAGTTTCGCCTTCTGACGTCACTCCAAAGGCCTTTCCGTCTGCATCAAATTCTACCTGCCATTTGCAGAATTAGGCATAACAAGTCAAAATTTTGTGAAAAAATGGTGAGCAAATCAACTTCTTAACATCTACACTAAAAAACTGTGGAATATCTTGATTAAATTTTAAATGGTGTAGAAGACAACTCCATTATGCTTCTTTTTTTTTTCTTTTTTTCTTTTTCCCTTTTTCCATTCAAATCCATTTAAATCCATATCCTCTATAATCACAATCATTGTGTCCTTTTAACAGCCTCAATGCAATTTTGTCAATCTTATTCTTGTGTGGTTGTGTTTTCAAATTCTGTTTTTTTTTTTTTTTTTCAACATAGAAACTAGTTTGACAAAAATAAGCATGAAAAAAAAATATTTTTGCCCCAAAAAAGATAAAACCATATGAAAATTATGATTTTTTCTTCTTTTTTTTTTTTCTTTTTCTTTTGACCGAACTAGTTTTAATTTTCTTTGAAGGAAATATATATATTAATAAATAAACAAAAAACAAAAAAATAGATTATGAGAACTCAACCAAACACTTGTTCCTCCATCTTAACCCACAGAGATCTAATAATTACCAAGAAAATAGATAAGTAACATGTTCACTCTTCTATCCTACAATTGTCTTTGTTTTTGAACACATTCTAGAAACTCTTGCTCCCCTTGTCCTCAACTGGCACAGCCTCTAGCTTCACATAAATGCATTCATTTCTCAATCAATCATTTCTGGTGCTGCCACACAGTCATCTCAGGTCCTCAAATCAACCACACTTGTTTACAGAAATAGCAGGTTATTTTGTGTTTTTGGCTGGTCTATATAGCCTTCTGTCAGTGCAGCCATCTTGTAAATTTCCTTGCATTTGCAAGGTATTTGATGATCCAGAAGCACTTGTCCTTTTACCCATCCTGTTTTCATTCTATGCATAACATTCTCTTCCTCTTTTGCTACTTGTTGGGAATCATTTAAAGATAATGAAAACTATCAGTTTCAACTTATGATTGCTCGGCAGGAAATTAAAGAATTTATTTAAACTTTGGCATTAACTAAACGATCCATTTTTTCGCTCCCCAGTTGAAAGAATCACTCACTTGGTGCTGCCTTTAGCACTTCAACCCAGTAAAAAATACTTAGGCTCAACAAGGCTATTTATATGGTTATCAGAGAATCATAAAAATTTACCTTGCATTCTGGCTTGTTAAGCATGTAAGTTCCACCATAGACAGCACTCAAACGAGCAAATGCCTATCAATAATGTCAGAGAAAGTTGAGAATAAATTATATAGCCCCTAAAAGGTTCTTGCAATTCCAATGACAACACACCTGAGGTAGTTCTCCAAGTCCATACAGTGGATAAATATAAGGAGATCCTCCCTGGAAGCGAGCTAAAGATTCTGCATATAGCTTTTCAAAAAAATAGCTAACGTAAATTAGCTGGTCATTACACTGACTGCTGTAAACAGAATATGCAAAAAGGAAAACCTCACTCACAGTTCACATCAATTTGAAGGAGGGAAAACGAGGAGAGAGGAGCTGTCCCCAACTCGTATTACCTCATCAAATTAAATTAACTAGGATTGAGATTATAAAGAAAGAACTGTTATCTTGTGCTTTAACTAAGATTATGGCCATTGATAGAATGGAATGTGACATAGGACCCATGTAACTGACCCCACACACAGTTGAAAAAGACATAGTTTAATTGATCTGGTATATGCTGTTTTGTTCCGTGAGATTCAAACAAGAAGTTACGAAGTAATTCCAGTTCACAAGATCCTTCTGGGAAAAATGTTTCTGATCTAGCTCAAAGTCGTGGTTCCAAATTCATAAATATCCTTTAATAGGTTCACATATGCGAAAAAAGTCCTTAACGATTGGTTCCCCTGCCGCAACCCATGGCCTCTTGCTCAGAATGCTGGCTGTGCACTAGTTTAAAATCATGGATCCTATTTTGCCATTCCAATCTTTCAACGGCCATAATCTCAGTTAAACCATAAGATGACATATCTTTCTTTATCAATGACTATCGTTCTGGGAGGGGGCAAAATTAACTTGGGTTTCTTTAAACTACCATATGAAATGACAGTTGTCTGTAGTTGAGACATCATTTACTACCATATGAAATGAAACACAGAAAACAGTAGAGCATTGAACGGATCAAACACAACATTGGTGTATGAAGGGTACAAATCATCCCAAGATCTTCAAAGTGGAGACACTGGCAAAAATAAAACAAATAACTTAAGCAGGAACCAAATGTTTCACCTTAACTCTCTTCACAAAATCCATGGCAGGCTGGTCCAAGTAACTGTCATCTATATGGAGTGCCAATGCATGGCCAATAAAGTCAACTGTATTGTCATCTAGCCCATACTTCCTATATCAGGGGAATAAATAAATAAATAAATAATAAGTCCAACTATATTACCTCTCATCACCAAAAAAATAAAGAAAGCAGAACAGTAATAATAACAGTAACTCCAGACAAGACAACTATAGTTATCATCATAACTGTTCTGAGGAATGAATCCACCACTTTACTCAGCAAATTGAGCAAAAGGAGAAGTATTTACTTATGGTCAAAGCTGGCTTGAGGGCATGTCCTCTTCAGATTAAAGTGGAAAGAATTATAACAATTTTCACACTGACTTTTCTATGTAAAAAGAAGGAAAACTGAGATCTAAAATAAAAACCTGCTCTTAAGAGTTATTGTAGTGAGATTCCAAACTCTAAATTTATGATCCGCTATCTTCTGTAAAACAGAATGGAGCACCAATTTACTTAAGCTGAATGTTGAGTTTAATTCATATCACAACAAATAAGTTTAAGACTAATTTGCAAGTGTCCGTGTGCATGTGATTGCCCCATTGGCACTCCACTTTAGCATCCCATGATCCACTTCTCACGTGCTTTTTGGCTCCTCTGGAACTCAAATATGTGGAGTACAAGAAGCTAAGATAAATGCCAATAGCATGTCCTAAATTTGATGTTTGTGTGTGTGTTTATGTTTACCCAGAGTCTCAATAGGTCTTAAGGCTATGTTACTAGTTTATCATAATTAAGAAAATTAATTTTATGACAATTCTTTACTTTCCTATCTTATCTTACTTCAATTTCTGATCAAGTAGATTTCTTTCATTAACTTCCTATTTAAGAGAGTTTGTAACACTTAACAAGCTTTGCAGGTATCAATCAATCTTAGCCTACAATAGCTTATAAAATATGTGAAAACATTTAGTTAGCTCCTATTCTAATTCTCAATGGAGCCAGAATGAATGTGAAACAAGGAATTGCAACCTTGCTGGTTTTTGGTCAACTTGTTCTTCAGAAAATTTGTTCCTTTCGTCTTTTTGAAGAACTTAAATTGAATAAAAGGATCTTAAGTAAATCTTATCTCGATTCAGTTTGTCTTTCAGGTTTGTTGCACAACTCCTGGCCTTTGACAGCTTGATTATCAGTCATCAACAGGGGGGAGCCACGTGAGGACCGGCGAGCACGTGCCCCCCCTCAATTTTTGGAAAATTATCACTTTATCTCTAATAAAAATATATTTTTTTAATTTGTTCCTTTGAAGTTTCAAGTATGCCCCTAAATTTTTATACCTCCTCTTTTCTTTACTTTTTTTTCTTTTCAACAAAATCCATGCAATTTGTCACTTTAAATGTGTAATTATGCCAAAAGCTTAATTTCATTTTATTTCTCTACATTCTCTCCAATTTCTTTCTTTACCCCTCTCCATATCTCTTTTTTTTGTGTGTATGTGCATGCATTTTAATTTAATTTCATTCTCATCTTTTATGGAGGCATGTGATCGCTTTTTAAATTATGATGATCATCATATAGAAAATCAAATCAATAACAAAAAAATAAAAAATTACCAGTTAACTTGAGCATGTCTCTAAATATATCTTTGGTATCACGCTGATTTTTAGTCCAACCACCACATGAAAATTGGGTTCAGTTGGATTGTGATTCATGCTAAGATTTCAACTCAATGTTGTAGCTGAGCCAAAATTCTGGCTCCACCACTGGACATCAGCCCCTACTAAAAAGAGTGTTGTGTGACAAGACTTCTTACTAGTGTTATTAGTGGAATTTTTGTGATGGGGGTATGACATCCTTAATGGGTTTATCTCATTTATGCTTTCAAGCTTGCTTCACCACAAATGAGATGGTTGAGTCATTGAGCCAATTGGTCAAACTGATGGCATAAAAGAACCTTTCCCTTGTTTGATGACCAATTCTCTCTCTGAAGTTCTATGAACAGATTTCCATGAGTTTATCACCATCCAATGCATATGTAGGCACTGCGACCATAGTTCTTATCATCAAAAGCTCAGTTCGGATTTTTAACTTAATCTCATAGCGAACTTGAGTGTCAATAGAGTAGTGGCATATTTTTCTATCCAGATATGGAGAACAGTTCAATTAGTAAGTCATGTATAAATATATATTCCTTGAGTTTTGAGTCATTATTGTTCCATTATGCTGAAGTGAGTCTAGATTTTCTAGTTTGGAGCAAGAATTCTAAGCTACTTATAGAAGGCGAAACAAAATTCGTTTATGTCCCTTTTAATAATCTATTTCAAGTTCATTCTTATTTTGATATTTACTATTGCTGCAATTTTGATTTCGGGAAAGCCCCTCTTACTTTCTGAACCTCAGCTTGTATTTCTAAAACAAAAAATATTTTATGACATCTGCAGTCTGCTAATTGGCCCTCAAGATTCCTCGTGCTAGTAGTTCCCAATGGCAGTCTTACACTATGGTTTGGATTCGTTTGTCACTGAGCATGAAATGAAAGGACATACTTTCCTTCAAAATTCCTTATGCTAGTCTTACACGCCTGAGTCTTAGACTTGACCATTACAAAATTGCTTGTTTGTGAAGAGGCCCTATAGATTTTCATCACCCATCCTACATCACTGAGCATAACTAAAGGAGATTGAGCTTCAGTAAGTATACATACAACATCATTTTTTTTTTTTTCTTACTCAGCTGATGGAATTTGAACCATCATCATCTGGTCCATGATAACCTCAAAATTTAAGTTAAAATAATAAAGATAACTTCCCATGAAATATGTGTGCAAAATTTATATATCAATTATATACACACACACATATATAGAAAACAACAATAGGGAAAGTAGAAGGAGATGAGGATGAGATATTACGAAATAACATCTTTTGCTGTGACTTTGTTGAGATCGAGTCCTTCATGAGATTTTGGATCATTCTCTTCATAGTCCTGCACATAAATGAAGAATTTTCGAGCACGACGCTTCTCAAATAATCCCATCAATGGGGATTTAAGTGCTTCCACATCAGTAGCTGGTACTTTGTGAATCTGAAATGGATCAAACCCATTGTTTATCATAAAAGAAGATTAAATTTTTACAATTTGTGAAAAGTTAGACTGAATGCTCCGTAAAAATAAAAATAAAACTTAATAGCCATCTCACCTTCCCTTTGTTGTACACAAAACTACCATCTACAGCCTTGAAATTGAGATACTTTGTTACATCAGTGTGGATGAGAACACGAACCAGGGCACCATTGGCCATCATGAACTGTCAAAGCAAAGAAACAATGATTAATGTCACGATAGCAAGTGCAAAAAAATAAATAAATACTCGAATAAAAATGTCACCTCTGGGAATACAATCTTTTTTTGATAAATACCTCTGGGAATACAATCTTAAAATGGTTTCTAATCTCTGAGAAATAGTTATTAAGAATCATGATACATGGGGACTCTGTTCACTGATCAAGTCTAAACTATCAAAATATATCCTATTTCTTTGACGACTCAATGTTCATTAGCATTAGATGAAATGATATAAAATTGTTGAAGAAATATGATTCATACTCATCCAATGCAATACAATATAAAGGTTGTTACTTCTCATGCCATGATTTTTCTATGTACTCCTCATTTTTCAAACTTCTCAATTCTGAAAGTCCTTTTGTAACAGAGAAGCATTATAACATATTAATAAAAATGGAGATTAAATCTCCCTGATAAAACTTAAGTCTCTACTAAACTTGTCTTTAGCATCTAATGAATCTACAAACGTGGTCAACAAATAGTCCCACTTATTTAATATATAATGAGAAGGCAGTACAGGATAATTTTTTGACGATTTCTCATTTTTTCAGGTAAGCATCAATTTAAATAGCAACTGATCTACACTGCATGCCCTTTCCATTCATCAACTAATGAAGTTGCAACTTCCAGAAACCCATTATTCTTATTCAATTTTGAGAATCCTAATAAAACAAAAGATTGAAAATGTTAAGTTTGCAAATTCTTAATCACTGCTATATCTGTTATCAGAATCTTACGATTCCTGATTTGATTCACGATTTGATTCGCAATTTTTACAAAATCGATACGAATCTATAGGTGAATCTATTTCGGAAGTGAATTTCTAGTGAATCGCACGATTCACAATCAATTCACAATTCGATTCATTTTTTATGATTTATGCAATTCTTGAAACTATCATATCCAACATATTGTCAACTTTTTTTTTCCTCCATTTTTTTTAGTAAAAATGACATAATACAGCTTCTAATAGCGTTTTTATATATATATATATACATGATTTGTTGTTATTTTAGTGATCATGGAGTTTTTTTTAATAGGATCCAATTAGATTCAGTCAGACCCAACATGTTTTTCACCTTTAAAAAATCATGATATATCTTCTAAAAATGTTTAAGAATAAAGTAACTTATACGATGAATTATCTATTACTATTTTATTAAATTAAATATAGTTGAATATTTCATAGGTAAGGTCAATTATACCTTTTAAAATATTTTACGCTTTAAAATAAAAGATCCTAAATAATTCTTTCTTATTATTTGGTCATTGTTACTTGGAAAAGTATGTATGCTTATTGTCCAAATATCAGTATCGTTGTCAAATTATTATTACTTTAGAAATTGAGAGTTTGTCTTTATTTACCGTTTTCATTAAGAATGGTAGATAAAAAATATCTAAAAAAGAGAAAAGGCAAGATGGTGATCTTACATAGGAATTAAAGTTCTTACCTATTAAACTACATGATCATCAATCAAAACAATATTTTTATTAATTTAAATCTAAATATTTCATGTTCATAAGATATATTTAACATCTGAGTGTGTAAATATATTTTTCTAAGTAATTTAGAAAAAAATGACGAATCTTTACGATTCACGATTCATTTCCCAATTCAGTACGAGGGCATTTCGGTTCACAATTCGAATCCCGATTCGAAAACTATATATTTCTTGAAAATTCTACCCTTCAAATCGAGTGTAAATTACAATTCCCTGTAATCCCTACATGGAACTTAGAAAGGTTTACCGTATAGTAAAACGGAAATAGGCAATTTAGGCACCAATTGAATTTGTGAAACATGAACCTAATGAGATAATGGACCAGATGTAGCTTGAAACTCTGGTTACGTGAGTCCCAGCTCAGCTCCACACAGCAAGTTGATTTGTAATTTGGACATGGCTCGGAGTATGAACTCCTTTGAGTTTAAAGAGCCTAAAAGTTCATGAGTGAGTGAAGCTAGATTGATTCACTGTACAATATAAATAAATTTGTGAAGAGATGTGTATAGTGAGAGATCACCAGAAACTAAAGGATTATTTCATGACTAATTGAAAAGCTGGAAGTGAGGTGAGTATTGAAGGAGGATGATAAGTTAAGAAACTCTGCATACCTTGGGGATCATATCGACATTGTAATCTCTGCTTGAACCCAACTGTTCTGGAGGTGTGTCATTGCTCCTGAATCGCTTCCAGAGCTATAAGCCACAATTCAAAATGAGCTAATGTCATATGTACACGGGAGAGGTGTTTTGATGACCAATACAGCAATTTAAGTACTTAAAACCACTATGGTACCTGGTTGAGATTAAGTGAGGTGGATTCACCTCCATAGTAATCATTTCTGTCCATGTGAAGAACCTTTTCCAAAAAGGCACAAAAAATGCTAATTAATTAGTACTCTTAACATTTTTACATTCCCACATACAAAAATCCATGGGAAAAAAAAAAGGTGAAAACAGTAAATAAAATTATAACAACCAAATCACAAAGCATCTTGAAAAAGTAATTTAGTGTGCTTTTTGATTGAGGTAGAAACATTCTGAATGATCTAAGAATTTGTGGTCCAAAAGTATGCGAAAAGGGGGGAAAACAGAATTGAAATGCTGGTAAGGCAAGTGCATTTTTGTTCAAACTAAGGTATAAGCTCTCCCCATTCTCACTACCATGCTCAGATCCAGTCCACATTCCTCAACATCGCATCTTCTTTTGTGGGAGTCATGAACTACACAGGAAAGAATGCCCTTAGTAAATAAGCTTAACCATCTAGGGTTGAACAACTATTACAATTTACTGTAATTTTTCTTCTTTTTTTTAGAGTGGCGAAGGGATTACCCAATTTAGGGAGAATGAAGAGTATGCAGTGAAAGGTTTCACATGGCTTGGCCAATTACAAACAAGGTTGTTAAAATCGGAATCCTAAGCGGGGTTGTTGGGAGGGACTCGTGGATCAGATCGTAGAATCGGATCAAGGATCATAAGATTTTATTTTCAACGCAAAATAAAATGAAAAATTATGGATAATGATAATGTATGTTACACAATTTAAAAAGACTAAGAAAAATGATCAATTTGATATAATGCACTTTCTATGTTAATATAAATTGAAAGAGACGATTGAAAAAGAAGTTTATAATCAAATTTTTTATATAGATTTACATATTATATATATATATATATATTTAACAAAAAAAATTGTAGGATCAGAATCGTAATAAAATCGGGATCGTATGCGGTTCTACACGATTTTATGAATAAGATCGTAATCACTTTAAGATCCTAGTAAATTTAAGATCGTAGTGTGATCCGGATCGTTTGCCCCAACTAAAATCATAGAATCTTACATCCTACGATCCGGATTGGGATTCTGATAACCATGATTACAAAGTAGTAAGAATTATTTGTTTGATGGTTGAGGATAATTTGATTCACAATGTCTTCCATCAAGGCAGGCAAGCTCATTAGCCTAGAACAATTGGAAGGATGAGACTTTATTGTATATAGCTTCAACAAGTGTTCATTCAGAATCGGTTGACAATAAAGAACATGCTAATCAAGCAGCTATTTTTTAAACTTTTCCAAATTAAAATCGTGGCACATGGGGTGAAGCCAAAGTGATTGTTTTCTCCTGCAAGAGAGCTGTTGAGAAAATTATTATTTTGCCAAAAGTGGAACAGAAAACAAAGGAAGCCCATTGAAGGGTTAATAACTTGACTCCTACTCATAGAGAATAGGTCTTATGATCTGTTAGAAATCTTCAAGAAGATTATATGTCTACATGACACTAGCAATGAAACACAAAAAAATTATTATTTGCCAAAAGTGGAATAGAGAACACAGGAAGGCCATTGGAGTGTCAACAACTTGACTCCTACTCATGGATTAGTCAATTAGGACGAACTTATTATGAAATTTGACAAACTTATTAGACTCATAAACAATAGTTACCATCATAAAACATAAACGAAACAAATTTCAATGCACTGATTTAGTTTAGGGATGGCAATGGATAACCTACCCTGTGGGTATCCATTGAGACCCAACCCAAATACATGGGTTTTTTCCTCTTTTTTTTATCCATTGGGTAGGGTAGGTGATATTCTTTAAATATCCACGGGGGATGGGTTGGGGATGGGTACCCACTAATTTCCCCATATATATATATATATATATATATTTTAAGATTCACAACCAAAACTAAATATACATTCAATCTTTTTTTTGAAGAAAGCTTTCCATGGGGAGGAAGGGCTCCTCAAGGTGAGAACCGTGATATGATAGCTCTATGCATGTTCAAGAAGTTACAATATTCTGATTTCTATCTTGTATCGCAAAATACAATATAACCAAAAACAAATAAACAGAGACTGTGCTAAGAAAGACATAGTTGATTGGTAATTTAGTAGCTGGAAATAACCCCACATTGTTGTCAAAGGAATACACATCTGCTTCCTACAAATCGATTGCAACTACAGATCTAAATAAGTATGCCAAGCAAATATCTTAGGGAAGCTAATTCAGGAATTCCTAATTCGAACTCGCCGATCACACGCCAGACTCAAAATGGACCGATTCTAGGGGAAGATGTCAGTCATTATTAAGGCGTCCACAATTACCTAGCTAAGCTATTGTTAAATAGAATGGTTATCAATCAAAATTAAAAGCAAATGTTAGAAATACATCCAAACACAACTGCAACCAGAAATGTAGATAAATTTGATTAAAAAAAGAATACACATATACATCATCGACACTAATAATCTCTAATAATACACCAAACAAATCAGAGGATGATCGGTCGAACGAAACATCATATTATATATATCGTCAATCAATCAGCATTAAGATTGCGGTAGCAAATCAACGAAGCATTTCGTGCAATCAATGCAATCAATATATACATATATATATATATATATAGAGAGAGAGAGAGAGAGAGAGAGTGCACAACACGAAGGAATGTTGAGGATGAGGCTTACTTTGAGTCCATCAACAGAGAGAAGACCACTGAGAATGCATTCCTTGAGGCCGGTACCAAGCACCACAACATCGTATTCTTCATCCATGGCGATATCAAAATCCGAAGCTCAAAGCTACCGAAAGTAATGATTTCTAGAGAGAGAGAGAAAGAGATTGTAATGGAGGCATGAAATGGGGACATTAGAAAGTTAGTTAGTCAGTTAGTTAAGAGAGCATGGAACGAACGAACGAACGAACAGGTCTCAAGCCAGACGTTCCGGAGTTTCAGGGGAAACCAGTACGACCGCGCCAATTTTCAAGGCTGGCAGAGCTCTCACACTGGTTTCAACTATTTTTTTCTTTATAATATTCATTTAATTTTTGCTATTTTTATCTTCTTCGTTTCGCTCAGGTATGAAATATCTAGGGTAATTTTCATGTATACTGCCTACCTTCAAAATTTTGGACCATTAGATTTGGAATGGAAGAAACTCTAACCATAATATCGGTCATGATTACAGCCACGTGAAAAAATTGGTGATTTTTTTCTAGAAAGGTGTAGTTTTAGTTCATTTATAGAATTGATTTTGGTTTGGGACGTGGGTTGTATTTTTAATTTTTTAATTATTTTAGTTTAAAGTTAAAAAAAGTTATTTATGATAAATTTTTTGAAAAATTACTTATAAATTTTATATGGAGAGATGTTGCTTCATTTAGTCCTGAATATTTTTTATTGAGCCATTTAGTCCTTTGTTTTTGGTATGTTATATTTGTTTGTTATATTAATTTTTTGATTTTACTTGTGTAACCTTGTTTTATTATTAGTGAGTATGTGTGGATAAGGTATGTGGTTAACATTACTATACTGTTAAGAAGGCATTTGCGAAGTGATTTTTGGCGGTGATAGTGTTGCCCACTTGATGTTATATTCTTATCGTGAAATATTTTCTTTATATGTAGGTTTGGTTATCAGGTTTTCTACTTAGCCCATTAACATCAACAAGCACAACATCACCACTAAGAACCAATGTCAGAATACCAATGCCATGTACATTAAGGATTGCAACATACACAGACGAACTTTGCCCTAAATTAACACTGCGAATTAAATTGGGCAATATGTCAATACAACAACCACTCACAAACCCAACAACCAAAACTCAAAACACACGGTTCATATTTCCAAAATACATAAACAATTTCAGTTTGCAGAGCTACACACGTTTCGGTTTCATAGAAATCGACAGTAACTCCAGGAATGGCTTAATCGGCGACATAGGATACACTTATAGACGGCGTCCCTCAATGTTCATACAATCACCGGCTAACCCTAGAGATCGTCAAAGGTAAAATCGAGGTCGTCGAAATCGGCGCCGAAGGGTAAGGCGAGATCAGAGAAGAAGGAGTCGGATAAAAAGACGGAGTCAAGGGGTGGGATTGCGAGGGCATCGAAGTTGACAGGGTTAGGGTTTGTAGGGATGAGATCGACGGCGGCCGATTGGTCCGCCATTGCTAGGGTTTTCAAAACACGTCGGAGTTGAGAGAAAAAGAGAGAGAGAGAGAGAGAGAGAGAGAGAAATGATTGCGAAGGGCTCGAATTGATGTTTGTGGGTGTTTCAAACATCAAATTCATTTTTAAAAAAATTCCCCTGTGTACCAATTTTTGTTAATGTTCGAATATATTGGTAAAGATGTAGTTGATGTTGATGATGTTCACAATATTTGATGATGTTTGTTGATGTTTGATGTTGTTTTGTTGATGTTTGATGTTGTTGATGTTTGAACATTATCTTCATGCTGGGCAAAAACAATGTTTGTTCTGAATGTTCTTGATGTTTGTGGGTGTTTCAAATATCAGATCCATTTAAAAAAAATTCACCACCTCGATTTCGCCTTGCCCTCACAATGTTTGATGATGTTGGTGATGTTTGGAAAATGAGAGAAATCTAAAAAATGCCTATAGTAAGCTTTTTGGATTTTTTTGTCATTACAACATTATTAAAAACTTACATTTACCCTCCATCAAAAAAATATTACGTATTAAATAAATGGATACATACGTAATTAACATTCAAATAGGACTTATTAGTCTATAAAATAAAAGGCAGGACCAAATGGTTTAACAAATTAAGATTTGGGATTTATTGGTGTTTTGCCTTAAATTTTTTGACTTTTTTAACTTTAACAAGAAAAAAATAAAATAATTATATTTTGAATGTGACATATTATCACATTTGATTAAAATAATCAATTTTATCTTATATAATTATTTTAATCCAAATACACGTGCCAAACATAACCTAAAAAATGGGTCAAACTCACCGTTTGATAAACGTGCTTATTAGTGTAAACTCACATATCACTTGTTATCCGTTTATTTTGAGATAAAATATTTTGCTTATATTTTATTGTGCAGTTGAATAGAAAGTAAATAAAACATATTTTAAAAAAATAAATATTATATTAAAAAAATTATTTATAAGTCCTATTAAGGAGACTTATACTACATATGGTCCTACTAAAAAACTTATATTCTCACAAGTCCTGTGGGAAGTTTGTTGACACATTTACCCTCAATATTAGTTGTTAATATTATAAATAATAACAAAACCATACATAGGAAATTAAATGTTACCATAGATCATATTTATATAAACGTAACGTAACGTGACACTTACATAAATGTAACGTGACACCTATGATTTATGGTAACATGCAATTTCCTATAGGAAATTGCATGTTACCATAGATCATATCTACATAAACATAACGAAACGTGACACCAACATAAACGTAACGTGACACCTTTGATCTATGGTAACATTCAATTTCCTATATATGAAATTGAATGTTACCATAGATCATATTTATATGAAACGTAACGTGGCACCAACATAAACCAGCAACATTTTCACATTCAATTTAAAAAAATAAAAACTCATTAAGTTTGCGAAACGTAACGTGACACGTTACCTTACGTTTATGTAGGTGTCATGTGACGTTATGTTTATATAGATGTCACGTTACGTTACGTTTATGTAAGTATCACATCACGTTTCGTTTATGTAGGATCTTGTGGAATACATTCCTATCTAAATAGGACTTGAGACTCTATAAGAAATTACACAGGACTTAGCCTACCATAAGTGTCTGAAAAATGACTAATAAATAAGTCTCCCAAAAATATTTGTGTATCAATTTTTTAACAATAACTTATTTTTTAAAATTTCGTAAGTTAATTTTTAAAAAGTTGACTCTTAGAGCATCTCTAACGATTCACCAAATATTTCATTAAATCTGAGTAAAAATATGATCAATTCCTTTATTTGATATCAGACACTCCAATGGTGACTACTGTAACTTTCATCAAATCACGGGGACCTCCGGGAAGTCAACTAGCTGATCAACCGGCAAGAACAAAATTATTATTATTATTTTTTTTTGCCTTCATTTCTATTTCTTCAATTCAAACAAGAATTCTTCACAGCTACCATTTATTGAAACGATTTCAATTTTAAGGGTAAACTACCCCTCTCTTTCTCAACTAAATCAAAACTACCATTTATTGAAACAATTTCAATTTCATTTTCATTTTCATTTTCTTACACCGAGAGACAAACCCATGAAAGCCCAAAATGATTTTCTCCATCAAATCTCTCTCCTTTCTTTTTCTTCTTCTGCCAATCTTCCTTGTCTTATCTTCCACCACCTATTCGTTCTCTCATCGAGCCTCTTAGAATCTTTAGCTTCAAACCTTTCACATTCTAGGTAAATCTATTTCTAATGAGAACAAAAGCCAAGCAGGGATTCAACAAAAGTTTAAATTTTTTTCATTTATTTTTCCCATTGTGCTTCAAATCATAAAATGTTCTTGCTTCTTCTACAAAGAAAGAGACTAAATGGTTAGTGTTTTGATAGAGTGATGACGTGCAAGAAGGAGATGAAGCTATCATACTTTTTGCTTCAGGTGGTCGACCGGGGATCAACCTCTCAGTGTAAAATTTTCACAAAATTTTGCTTAAGGTGATCATCCAGGAGGACATTGGGAGGTTGTTTGGTGGTTCACACTTAACGGCTACACACAGTAAATTTTTGAAAGGTGCAAGACATCTCTAGTTTGGTGAAATTTGTAGGGCGTTCTCAATTTGATACCGTTTTGATGAAACCGTTGAAGCACAAAAAGTACCTCTTTTTTATCAAATTTGAATTTGATAATAGATTTAGTGAACGGTTGGAGATGGTCTTACTCATTATTTTTTCAATATATTTAGCTATTTCAAATAAGTATCTTACCTCACTAAAAAGTTATAAATAACACTTTATTTGGGCCTCGTTTGTCAACTATATATTTTAGCTAAAAAATCAAAAATTCACTATAAATTGTCACATCACTCTCTCTACTTTTCTGCACATTTTTTTTGAAAAGCCAAAAAGTTAAGCTCCGTTTGGGAAATTGGTTTAGAGGTTTTTTTGGCTAAAATAGCCAAAAAAACAAAATAGGCTTTTTAGCCCAATAAGACAAAACATCACATCCAACCTATAATCATTACATTCTTTCTCTCACAAAAAAGTCAAAAAAGTCAAAAAAATCAAAAGTCCTTCCCAAGTCAGGTTTTTTAGCTCCAAACTAAAATAGTTAAAAAAGTCAAAAAAATCAAAAAGCCAACGCACTTTCCAAACGGAGCTAATAATTTGTTCCCAAACGAGACCTAAATCGAAATTTCTCTTTTAGACAATAAAATATTTTTATTTTAAATGTCAACCAAACATCAAAAAATATAAACAATACATTTTTATATAAAACATTTTATATTAAAACAAACAGAGTCATAATGTGAATAAAATACAACTCAACAATATTAATCAAATTATATTCATGCCTCGAAAATAGTACTTGCTTTTGTATTTTTAATTCATTTTAAATGAATACAACTAATGCACACAATAACTACCTCCCCTCCCCACTTTGTCATTTTGTGAGTCAAATTATATTCATGTCTCCAAAATAGTACTTGGTTTTGTATTTTTAATTCATTTTAAATGCATACAACTAATGCACACCATAACTACCTCCCCTTCCCACTTTGTCATTTTGTGAGTTGTTTAAAGTGAGACTTACTTTGGGATGGTTGTTAAAAATTAATTTTTTGATTTTTTAAAAATTTTTTGAAAAAATGTGAGAGATTATAAGATTCAAAATAAGTTAAAATTAAAAAATAACTTTTTAACCATCTTCTCAAAAGACTACTAAATTATGACATGTGAATATTAATTCATTAAAATTTGTACTAAACTTGCCAATTTTTAAGTAGTCATTATCATATCATCTCATGGATTCAAGAAAAAAAGTTCCCGATGAATTCTTACAAATACATTTTTTTGTTATTCTATCAATTTAATTTGAGGATAAGCTATTAAACCCTTGAGTAATGCACTACAAAT